TTTTTGTAGCTTTCTTAGGATTGAAAAAAAATAAAAATTAAACAGTACATGAAATTGCATTATATTACTAATGATTTACATCTAAGTACAACAATTGCAATAAATTAGGAGGAGGATAGTGAGCCCAGTATGGTGGACACTGACCTCTAAGTGTAAATTTGGCCACCCAGTCATCTACTCTGTTTGACCATTTATATTTGTTTCTCAGTTTATGCATCTTGGACCAAAAAGGGATTAGGTTTATAACCAAAATTTTGACAGTCATCTCGATCTGTCTGTTATATTTAATTTTCGGTCTACTAAGTATCAACTTATTGTCACTTTAATTAAGAATTTATTTTATCCTAAATTAGTCAATTTTAAAAAATGAATCGAAATAGTCTTCAAACTTTTGTTTTCTTAATGAAATTGATTTTACGTTATATAACATTATACGGTATACTGTTAAGAAAAAACAGATATCTAGAGTATTAATACTATTATTAATTAATATTATTTCATAAAAGAAAAAGTAGTTGGTACTATAAACATTTTTTTAACATATTATTAAAACAAATGGTTCAAATATGTGAGGGAAGGGGGAAGAAGAGGGTGAGCACAGGCTTAATCCCTTATTATGAGAGTGTAAAAGTTGTTTATAGTATTGATAAAACCAATTTAAATATCAAGGTTCTACAGTGGTACCATAAACTTAAATAGATCATTAATTATTAGTAGTTGAATAAACTTACAATCCTCTTGCTCTTCAATTTGAACATAAACTTAATAATCATCCTACACTTACTAATTAGGAACTGCTTTAAAAAAACTGTTAATTAGTTAATCCTCCGTTGTCTCCTTTTCATCATCATTTTGCTCCTTTTCTTCTTGTGCTTGTGTTTGAGCCTTCTTGGCTTTTGCCTCCTCGTTTTCTATCTTCTTTACTTTGAGAAATTCGATTAGGTCATTGAGCAGAGCATCAAGATCGTCGCTTCTCATCAACTGCTCCGCCACCTCAGCCGGCGTTACCTCCGTCGAACCGATTGCCTCCTCAATTTCTGGGAAGAGTTGATGGTCTTTGATTCCAAGGTAATTCGCGGCAAGAACCTTGAACCCACAAGGAGTGCAATAGGACATGTGGATGTGCATGTCCATCCTGCCCGGACGCAGCAGAGCAGGGTCCAGTTTTTCCTTGTGGTTGGTGGTGAAGATGATGATCCTCTCGTCGCCGCAGCTCGACCACAGGCCGTCGATGAAATTGAGCAGTCCTGACAGCGTCACCTGTAAACATGCCAAATAGAACAATAAAAATCAAGCTTTATTATTATTATTTTTTTTGAACAAATTTCCAAGCAGTTAAAATCAAACCGTTGACTAAAAGTGAGGGATGCACTTTATGAGTGATCTGAGGTGGTCTGAGTTCACTGTCCAAATGCAAAAATCAAGCTTTATTTTTTGATACATCAGATGAAAAATCAAGCTTTATTAATCTGTGGTTGCCGTCATTTTAGAATATTGTTGTAAAAATACCCTTTTTTATTTTATATATAATAAATTGGAGATTGAATTTTTTAAAATTTAACAATCAATGTTATACGTGAAAACCTAAATTACTACGTATAATTGTGTTATTAAATATAAAAAAAATCAGAAACAATAATCATACCAAACAACAAAGCCACAATTGATAAGACATTTGCTTATTTCACTATTCACATTTTTGCTTAAGGTAATGATTTGTAGATAATTTTTATTTATAATTTTTTATGTTATTAAATAAATATATGTAAAAAATTACATAAAAATTATTTTTTAATAATTTCTCTTTTATTTATTAAGGTTGGATGTTAGGATACTTGCAAATTCTTAAATTTGTAAACTAGCTAGAAGTATATTTTTAGGGATTAGAGTTGAATCGGTTATCATCCTTTCAAATTCTTTTAAAGGATTCATTTAAAAATTTATATCTGATTAATACTTTTAAAAATTAATTATTTAATTAAAAATTTTATTTATGAAGATTATGAATATTAATTTTTATGTTAATTTAATATTTATAATTTTTTAATTAAAAAATTTTAATTTAATAATAAATATTTAAAATTATTAAATTTCATATAATTAATGAATTAATTAGACTTATTAAATTAATATAAAAATTAATGTACACATAAATTATATAAATAAAATTTTTAATTTAACTATTAATTTTTGAAAAGACTCATTTAAAAGAAATTTATGAAGACGACTTGAGAGTTGAAAGCACTTATTCCAGGAGTGTTGGAATTAATGCAGTGTTGAATATGCAGTGCAAAACTAAATGTCAAAACCTCGAAATACACACACCATTAACATCATTAAAAAAGGGTTGAAAATAGAAATGTCACCTGTTCTTGCCGTAGAGGATAACCATTCCGGTAAACAACTCTGCCCTCCGTCGCCCGATTTTGCAATTCGATGGTACAATCTATATCCTCCACCACCAATATCGACCGGTTCGCAGTGGCCACCAGCAATTTCCTGAGGTCCGAGTTGCACCGTAGTTCAGTCAACTCCAAGTCATAAACATCGAAATTCAAGTAATTCGCCATGGCAGCAATCAAGCTCGATTTTCCAGTCCCCGGTGGACCGTACAACAAGTACCCTCTCTTCCAAGCTTTCCCCACTTTTCTGTAATAGTCCTTCCTCCTCACGAACCTCTCGAGATCCCTCACAATGGTGTTCTTCAGGCCCGGTTCCATCGCCAGAGTTTCGAAGGTTGCAGGGTGGTCGAGATTCACCGATTTCCATACGTCGGACAAATTGGAGCTGTACTGAATCTTTTCGAACTCGGCGGTGAAGATTTTCAGGGTCTTCCGTTCTTGGACCATGGATTTTGCTTCTTGGACGATGTGGGGCAAGTAAGAATTGAGCACCATTTCCCTGTGCTTTTTGTGGAAACAAAGCTGGAAGGAGCGGACTTCCGATCTAAGTGTGGAACCGATGTCGTGGGCATTGCTAAAGCCCCGATCCTCTACTTGCCGACAGACAAAAACCCACTTGAATTTGACGCCGAAGAAGATGTCCTCTACCTCCTCGTTAATTACTCTCCATGGCAACAACAAAGTTCTTTTCTTTCTCCGGTTTGCTAACTCTGAACCTCTTCGTGGAGGGAGAGATTTTGGTGCCTAGGTACGTCTGTGCAGCCTCGTAGATTTGGTTGTAGACAAGGCCGTCCAATTCGTCGATGACCATGGTGACTGTAGAAGAGAAGCGGCTGAAGAATTGGTGAGTGTTGAAGAAAAAGTAGTTTCGGAGTTCATGGGGAACAAAATCATTGGCTATTGATCGGACCAGCATGAGGGTGGCGGCAACGGAGGCTGCCGCAGAGACAATTGTCTTGGCGGTGGCCATCCTGGATTCAGCAGACGAGGTTTCCATGTTTGGAGATGAGTTTCTGTTTTGCAGGAAAAAATGGTAGAGGAAAACGTTGGATGATCTAGGCAACAGGGCTGGGGTTATTAAAATTATGTTACACCTATTAATCTAATTATAATTTTATTAACTTGTAATTTCTTAAAAAATATTATAATTATAAT